AGCATTTCAGATATTGTGTCCTATTTTTCTTTGCAAAGCGCAACTGGGAAAGGAGTAATTTCCTTCTAATTCATATCTTTATGAACCACAAAATGCAAAAAATGAAGAGCATATCCAAAACATGGGAGTATATTATATGTCACCTCTCCTTTACTGCCTAAATGTTAGCTCTCTGCCCAGTGTTCTTAGACAAAGGAGAGTGAAAGATGCTTTCGAAATATTTAGATATTTTGGAAAGATGGACCCAGAAAATGGTTTGTTATATCTGAAATATGTATCAGAATAATGTGGGAGGAAACTTTGGTGACTAAATTTTGACAGCCAAAATGAGAGGAGATCTACCCTAAATCCTTCAACCTCAGATTTTTCTTTGTTTGCAGCTTAATTTCAGATAGAAATCTGATCTCTGGGGATTATTTACATTTAAATTTGCATTGTTTTGATTTTTTTTTGTAACAATAATCTCTACAGTTTAGGGAATTCCCAGCATACATGGTTTGGAACTGGAAAACGAAGAGGTCCCTCAACCAATGGCCTAGAAAATTAGGAGGGGAGAAACACCTGCATGTCCCTGCTGGCTGAGGAATTTTGAAAGGGGTGTTTCTTTTGGCAAGAAGAACTCCCTAGTTGGGGTCACTGTGAAGTGGAGTCCTTTGACCATATCCTAATTGCTGTGGGGAGTTGAGAAGTTCATAAGCAGGGCTAATTGCTCAAACACATTGTCCTCCATCTCTTCTCCTTGAATGAACCCCTAGAAACCTTTTATTGAGATAAAGCTGAGTGTCAGCCTCTTGAAATCTGATGGCTGGCTTTATTGAGGAAAGGCTGGCGACCACCTGTCAGACAATCCTATGATGTCGAGAGATTTTTGTGACCCTCTGCTTGGGCAAGTTTGAAGGAGTATCGAGTTGACTTTTTCCAGCCAGGCCAGAAAGGAGACGCTGGTGAGATGATTCGTGTTTGCTGTAGGGCAAATTAGACAATGGATATAGCCCATTGACACACAGAAACTTTAGGAAGGGCAAATTCTTTGGTGATGGAGAGATGTTTCTATGGGAAATTTTCTATTGCATCTGTCCTATAAATGTCTCCCTAGTTCTCCCCACATCTCTAAGATGAATGACTCATGGATATTTTTCAGTGTGTTGCCTTTTTTTTTTTTTTCTTGTTCACATATTTAGTTTGAAAGGTCTCTAAAAGAAGCATACAAAAGAAAGAAAATATCTGTTTTACTAGACCTTTTTGAACTTGTGTAAGAAATGCAAAATACAGATGGAGTAATTTGAATTTGCCAGTTTCTTGTAAGCATGTCTGAGAAGCATGGGAGTTTTTGCTTTTTAATTTGGCAATATTTTGGTTTGAGCTATTCTAATAGAATGATCTCTGTAAAGTACATCTGGTCCTTGCTAGAAGTGTGCTGAGCCCCATTTTGCCACCATTGTTATGGGCAGAACTTGAATTTGCCTTTGGCAGAAACAAAAACTCTTGAGAGTGCTAAGAAGGAGCAATTTTGCAGGGAAGGGAAAAGGTGGTCTTAAAACACTTGATTAACGTTATTGCTGAATCTGAAAACATTTTATACTCGTGAAGGGAACCAGAAATATGATGCTAGAATACTGTTGTTCCTAATAATCTTTTTCTGAATGCATGTGAGGTTTTAAAGTCAAGGGTTTTGACTTCTTCCCAAGGCTCCCTAGTATTTCATGGGCTGCAGAACAATGAATGTGAAATCCAAAAGGGACCCTATAAATCTATTATGGTGCATGTTGGGCTTGGTGTCACCTTCATTTTTAACATCACAACTCGGTTTATTTTCAGGGAGACCTAAGGCAAGAAATGGGAATTACTTCAGTACATAAATTTTTAAATTGACTTTCTCTAACTGAGAGAGAAAAAGTAACAGGAATTCTACAGATATGAGATCTTGCTTTCAAATCCTTAACCCACTGGAGGTGATGGCAAAACTAACAACACTTGCAGTAGAGCCAGTATTTTGTTCTCTAGCTTCAGGATTTTTAAAGGGTGAAGATTTGAGATCATGTCATCTATTAGAGATGTACTAACAGTTTGCAGAAATCACTGATTCTCTCCTGAAACATAGCCAGCCTTGGAATTGAATACGCTCAATTTATTAACTCTCATCAACAGTGTTGTAGAGGATAAAAACTGAGGAAGTACGGTTGTTTTTATCCTGAGTGTAACACATCCTACTGAAAATGCAGCCGTCAGGAAGTAGAATAAATTATAAAGTGCTTTCTTATGGATATCTGATGCCCTTCTTTAAGTGTAGCTTCCCAGGTTTGTTGATTGATGACAGCTATTGTCATATAAGAAATTCTTCTGCTGAGTAACAAAAATATATAGTTGATTGTACAAGTAAATGTTTTTTTTCTCTCAGACTGTATTCTGGACTTTTGTGAACATAAATTTATTAACCTCATACTTTCAAGTACTTTTCGAAAGGTTTGTTCTTGCTTATTTTGAGGTGAGGGGGAACTAACATTTAATACAGAAGTAATGTGTATAGCCTGCCAACACTTCCACAACCTCCAGGCTTGATGTTGAGCTTCGTGTTTTTCTCAGGCTAGGAAGTCAGGGTTTAAAACTTCAGTTTTAAGGCAATTTTCAAGATAAAGGTAATAGAGAGTACCCATGACATTTACACACACACACACCCCGACACCCCCCATCCCCACCCCCCCACTACCTCTTACTTTTGTTGATACCACCCAACAGTTGGAATGCTTGCCTCGCAGGTCGGCTCTTAAAGAGGATCCTACAACCATAGCTCACTATCAATTTGGCAAACATTATTCATAGTTGTAGCTGAATTTCCGACTGGCATTCTTCGGTTTGTGCCTTCTGTGTTACATGTCCTTTTTGTTGGTGACTAAAGTAGGCATTGCAAATACGCAGAACTGCAAGTGCAGTATTCTAAATAAATTATTTTTGAATAAGATTAGTTAATTACTTATAACCTAACTGTGGTATATTTTACAGAAGAAAATTGTTGAACTGACCTATTTTTTTGATGCCATGCATATTTAAGCATTTACATTGATTTTCTGATTAATGTATTACTGATCTTTTAATTGTGTTTTCTTGGGCATGGTGGTAACTTATGAATTCTGTTGGGGCAAATCAGCTGCCCTTTTTTGAAGGATTTCTCTGTATCCTGGGCATGGAGATCAGCCTGGTTCTGTAGCTCACTGAGATGGTACTTCTGTCCACCACCTGAAGTCCAAGGGGAAGCCACTTCAGAAAGGAAAGCAGTGTAGAAATACCAATTATTACATGTAGGAAAGTGTGTGAAAGTCTGTAGTCATCACATACATGCTTAGAAACTGGTTATGCCCTTTTCCTTCTCCCATCTGGCTGCAACTCAGTGATACTGGACTTTTTATCTGGTATGGTCCCCACCCAGGAAGGGGCTTTAGAAAATCATTATTGCAGAGTTGAGTAGGGAATTGATTTAGTAGTGGTGCATTAGAAGAACAGAAATAAGAAATACAAGTTGGGAGGGAGTAATTTCAGATGACTTTATAGGAAAATAATATTCCCTGTGCTTATGTACAGAATATCCAAATACTTACGCTTTAGTTAAGGTTGATCGGACCAATAGTTGGGCTGTGTAGCATGGAAACAACCTCTTATTTGTCAGAGACTTGACCACCAACACGTTCTTTTAAGATTTCTGCTATTTTATAGAAGAAAGCTGACTTCTTATATTTTTTTTTACCCTATATTTGGCATCTATTCCCTTACATATTCTGATGGAAAATGTTGCACAATTCATGCATTTAGTTATGGTAACAGCATTTATAGTGAGTTACAGTACATTACATTAATGAAGAAGTTTAATTTTACATCTTTACCTAGCTATAAAATAAGCTATTTTATACAAATGAAAAGTTGAAAGCTTGGGAAAATATTTTTCTTTCTCTGTGAAATTACACAGCATCTCAGTTTGAAACATATTTGCTGTAGGCCCCTTGTTCTTATGACTTGGAGTATTTTTAGAGATTGACTGTAGCTGAAAGAAATTAAACTTCAGCTGGATGACCATTTCCATCTATTTAAAACAGCTAAAAAAAGAAAATGGAAATAAAAAATCTAATTTTGATTTTTTAAAAATTCACATCAATGAGCATAGCCACCTCCTAGCAATTTCATGTGAGGTCTCTAGAAGACATACACTATTGTGGTTTTTTGGCATTAATTGTAACTTCTCATTGACTTCTGATGAAGTCAAGGTTTCTAATTCAATTTTAATGGGTTAATGGAAGCTTTGTGAACTTTAGATGGGATCTCAGTTGAAATAAGTAGATGGTGGCCTCTGAGTTTTTATCTGGGCCTTCTCTAAAAAGGGTACCAATTCCCCCAAAACCAAACCCCAAATACTTCATCAAGGAAGAGAAGGCAGCTTGTCATGTCACATCGGAGGGCTGTTGCCTGTCTCTAGTTTGCTTTTCCTTCTCCTCAGGGGTAGCAGTGCTCCTCTTGCCCTTGTTCTGGTCAGCAGGAGTCATTTTGGGGTGCTTTCTTAGAGGGAAACCTGGGAAGGGAGAAGGGTGGGCAGGACACACGAAGGTTGCCCTCCTGTAGAGGACTGTGTGGCATTGCATGTGTGCTGGCTGTATGGGTACGTACCAGCTGGGAGCAAGCAGTGACTGGTTCAGGATTGGGAGTCCGTATTGCATGTGCTTTTTAAAGGGATGTGAAAGTGAGGCAGGTGCATGGAGACTGAGGAAGGAGTCGTGGTTTTGACATAAGTCATTCAGGAAGTGAGGAGAACATAAGTGAAAGGGCAGAATATCAGGGAGCTCCTCAAAGCATGGGAAAGTGGGAGGAGTGAGAGGCTGGAAGAGAGATCAGGTTAAAGATGAGAATAGAAGAAAGGCAACTGAGAGACAGAGGGAGGCAGTCCAGGGAAATATAAGTGGAGGAAAAAGAGTTTTTGTAAATAAATTTACTTAGTTTATTTAAAAGAAAATTCAATGAAGAAAGACACAAATATATAAAAAAAGACTGAGAAAAAGAAATGAAATGCTTAAAACATTACGGAGGAAAGTAGGTTGAGGGAAAACAGGAAAGAAGAGATAGTGATTTGAAGAACAGAAGAATAAATTATGGGTAACATTGGTTTATTTTTGTTTATAAATGGGGTGAAATATGGTATTTAGATTTTTCTTTTCAGCACAGTAGGGAGGGCATAAACAGTCATTCTTGCTGTGCTTAGCACCACGTGGTCATCAGAGCCCATGCATGAGACAGTATTGCAGGCTTTGTCTCTCTGCAGTACGGTCTGTAACTGAGCAGTCCGGTTTCTTGCATAGGGCTGTTGCTTTGGCTTGTTCTGTAAGTCTGTTCATAAACAGCAATTTTTATTTAAGTCCCTTATTTTTAGTTAGTTGCATGTGATCAAAATGTTTTACCACAGACTTCGTGCATATGTGAAGAGTGGCTATGAGAACCATAGCTTTAATACTTACACTGCTTATATTGACTTTACCATATTGAATAGTAGCAGTATTTTCAATTTCAAATAATTTCATTTTCGCAGTGATTTATTCAGTGTAACTAAGTCTTTGTTCCTTCAATTTGGAGCCCTCATGGGCTGTTTATTTATTGATATAGTTTAGATAGAATATGTATTTTATGAATGTAATATATAAATAATATTTATTTATATTTCTTAAAATCCCTACTAGCTGGAATTGAGCTGGCCAAAGACTGTGGCTTGCCTTCTCGCGGTTCTTTTGCCTGTATTTCCTTTTCCCAGTGTCCTTATTTCTGGCAATGCCTTTTGGCATTGTTTTTACATTAGCAGGCAAAAGAATCACTGGAAAACATAGTACTGTTTTTCTCAGAACAAGAAATTTAAGGTATAACTGCTTTAATCTTTTCAGGATTGTTATTAGAGGGTGCAGTAAGGATAGGCAGATATCCTCTGGCTGCGTCTTCTTTCTGTATTTTGTTATCCTCTGCTGTATTTGGAGTTTCCGGCCGTTCAGGACAGTCTGGATGGAGCCGGGGAAGAAGGAATGCCTGCAGATGGTATACATGTGCCAGTCCTGTAATAAAGATTTTCATCTACAGACCAGAAATGCTTTTAAGAGAGCGTTATTGTTTGCATCAGTGATTTGCAGATGGGCAAGGTGCATCATGGAGCGTCTGAAATAAGGTCACACAGGTAGTCATCACTTGAGAAGAGGATCCACTTTTGGTTTCTGCATGTCATAACCTCACTTTTATCCTATTCTGCTTTGTAGGGTGCTCTTTTTTTGGGGTCCACGATAAAGCTAGGTGAAAGCCTGTTCAATTTTTTTTAGCATTTTAATGACAATGGCTATTCATTTTAAGAGAACAGAGTCTATGTGATCCCACTGAAGGCAAAAGGATTTATCTAGAGAAGGGTACAAGGAGCCATTTCAGGAGCATGAAGAATTAATTGCAGGTCCAAGAAAATACCTGCTTTAGGAATACTGTCCTGTTAATTCACTGGGGCTTGCCTGCTTGCTGAGTCACCCATATAAATTATCAAATCCTGCTTGGAGAGTAGTCTATTTACTCAATATTTATTTATGGGAACAGAACCTCTCTATCTTAATTTCTGTGCCTTTAGGACTTTACTACCATGTGATGAAACTGAATATTTTTATTGAATCTATTGTGTAGTGCCAGTAGACCTGAATAGGAGAAATGATCCTGGAGAGAACATAAAAGGAGGTTTTTTGTTGGGTTTTTTTTTTAGATGGGCATAAAGGAGTTCAATATTACCAGAAAAACTGCTTTGAACAATGCTGATAAAGAAGAGGTTTAATGAGGCTGGGGCTGTTTGCGGAAAATTAGTCCGCATTAGGGTAATATTCCTTCAGGGAACGTTTATAATGCCTGCAGGAATGTGTGTGTGTGTGGATCAGATTCCGGCACAACCTTGCAAGCTTTCAGCAGCTGACGCATGGTGCACCTGTGTGTTCCCCTGTCTGACCTCAGAGCTGGATTGAAAAGCTCTGGCATCTGGAAGATTTCTGCGAGAAAAGATCAGGTTTTTAATTTTTGTGACCCAAAAAAATTTCCGTCTTGATGCTTAGAATGCCTTGTATTTTACATCTTTTTAAAGGATACTGGAAACTATTTTGTGGATGTGCTTTTTAGTGGTTTTGGGTTGTTTTTTTCTTTTAATTTTATTAAACTGGTATCTTAAAGATCTCATAGAGATATGTCCAAATAGATGAATCGTATCCTGCTAAAAAATTTGGTTACTTGGCAGGACTCGAGAAAATAATTTCATACTCTGTTGCTTATCTCAGTAAGAATGTTCTCCCTAGCAAGTGCAGATTCAGGCATGACAGCTTGGGCATTTATCTCATTTGCAGAGGTCTCTGATAGCATCTCATTTTCAAATTGTGGTGATTTGGAGCTAAAATGTAAATCCTGCTGTACAAGGATTGCCATTTCATAACTTTGTAATTCGTAATCGGTATCTGCGATAGTAACCTGCAAATTGTAAGGACATGTAATTTACATTGTAATAGTAATTAACTGTTTTGCAATTACACTTTGATTTGTATTTCTTTATCAAACATTGCAGAGTGGTTAAGCTGTGCTGCTTATGAACTTCCATGTCAGTAATTTCGTGGTATAAAATTGTGCTTATTCCTTTTTGGAATTTAGAAGTCGCTCACTTTGGCATCTGTAGCTTATTTCTTGCAATCTACTTAATTGAGTAGCTTCTCTGTTTATCTTAAAATGCAGATAAATGGCTTTCAGACCAGTGTTTATAGCTTAATAGTTCCTGAAATAAGAGTCAACATTATCTCCTAGACTCTACCAGTCATAACTAATGATCCCTCTGCTTACACTGTTGAGCAAGTCAGGAGACACTGAACTCTGCAGAGAGCAAGGGCCCTGTGCAGTGGGAGGATAGTTTGTATGTGATGGCGCCTAGTAGACAAGGCTTTCATGGCTCAGTAGTGTTAATTGGGAACTAAAATTTGTCCTCCGCCACCTCTAACCTCCCATCACTGAACTACTCTTCTATGAATATGGATACGAACCTGAGGCTGTGTTGATAGCATGCAGTAGTCTCACTTCCCTCGTCGTTTAAAGTAAATAATATCAGTTTACTCTTATATTTGCTTCAGTTTTACCCATCAGAGCACATTATGCAACATGAAATCTCTGCAGAAATAGGGGATATTTTTAATGTTCCAAACATCACTGGCAGGCAGCCTAACAGAGGCATTGTGTTGAGGGCTGAAAGAGGATGAGAAAATAATTAGGCAGCTGGCAATTACTATATTTTGCCCTGGGGCTTTTTTAATGACATTTTAATGTATTAATGAAAGTAAGATGCCTTTTTTATATTTTCCTGACAAGTCCTTTGGCTTGTTTCCTGAATAGGGGGTGGTAGGCTTTCCTTTGTAGTAGGGTTAAGTGCATGCTTCATGAAGGGAGGGGGCAAAGAAAGAAAAAAGGAATAGATTTACCATCCATAAGAAATGCTATATTATTATTACCTTGGGAACAAAAATGGCTTGTTTATCCATGAAATTTAAATAGCATGGGGAGAAACAATGCCTCATGGCGTTAAGCAGTAATACTCTTCTGTACTTCTGTCAGCTTGTCAATACACTCTTTTACCTGAGATTTTTTTAACTTGTAGGAGGAGTATTTATTGGAAATTACAAATATAGGTGTTGTGAGATGGATATTGCCTTTGAAGAATTTCAGCCAAGACAATGTGCTGGTTTCAAATGGCAATCCAGCAGCCAGCTTTTGCTGGCTTTAGGTGGATTTTAGCTAGTGATATACAAAGCAGTCTCCATACCTAATTCCTGTGTCTCCACAGCCATCTAGTCCACTGTTTTCAAAAGCTAATTAAATGTAAACATTTAGGTGGGTGACTGGTTGTAAAAGGAGCTGTATATGAAAGCTGTTCCTACTGAAAGAAGCTTACATCAGGCTTGTTTATGCTTCAGCTTCCATGTTTTTAATTGTTTTTCTGAGCTTTCACATTATTTTAAAACTAGGCTTTGAGCTTTGTATTGGCTGGAGAACAGCAGGCTGGTATAGAGCACAGTCTGGGTAACACCACCTAGGGGGCAAATGCCACACTGTACAAAGAAAGAAAACTCAAAACACTACTTACAGCTCTGAAGGTGTTTTTATTGGACGTTCCCATAATGGACTGCAAGAGACTCGAGGTAGAATAAGCAGTATGCCCTCAGAGAGTTGAAGAGGAAGAATGTGATGGCTGCCAGGAACACCACCATACGGTTCAAGCAGTTTCTAGCAGGACCATATTACAACATTGCGTTGACAGAACACTGCATGTCATGTATCTTTTTCACATGGTATGCATGATCTTAGCATGTAACAGTAGCTCTCCAATCTAGGGATGCAGTAGACCAAACAGCATGGAGGAGGAAAAAGTCAACCTTTGCCTCTACTAGTATCAAATAGCTTTAAAACAGAATGTGTAAGGTTCCAGAAAAGGAAATAAGTATTTGCAAAGACCATATATGCAAATTTTTTGGAAGAGGAAATTGGAGGCAACTTTTTTATTTTGATGCTGATGTTGCATAAAGTATTGTTTCTTACCTTTTCCTCTGTAGATCAAATCAAATATCCAGATACCTGTCTGGTTATTTCACTAGCAATCACACTGGTTTCACTCAGCATCCTGAAGGGTCAGCCCTTCTGTACAAAAATCAGTTAAAAGTTCATATAGTTCCAGATTAGTTTTGAGCATTTTCTCATAGGAGTATAGCTCTTTTTTGTTTGGAAACAATCCTGTTGGTAAACAATAGCAGCATTAAACCTTCCAATAAGGAATTGGGTGCATAGTTTTGAATGTGCTGATAGCTCTTATTTTCATTACCAGTTTTGAAATGTGAAATTAGGTTAGGTAATGATGGAGCAGAAACTGAAGTACCATTTTGAGGAGAAAAGCATTTAAGTATAAAATGCTATGAGAATGTTCTGATTGCAGTGTCTAATGTTTCCAGCTTAATATCGGAAAGAAAAAAGCTGATTGGTAACAGGAGCTGTAAGTCATCTTTAACAGTTATGTACAGCATGGAAATGATAGATATTATGTGTTACACGAAGGGAGTGTGATACATTAA